TGTTTGTGTAATTTACCCTTCCACTTTGTAAAAATGACCTCATTGCCAGAAACAGAAAAGCTTGTATTGCTATTGTCCTGTAATCTTCTAACACACAAATAAATCTTCAGAGATATGTGAAACATAAAATCCAGAAGGACTTGTGAAATTTGTGATTGCAATTTATGTTTGTACAACAATAAATTTTTCTTTGCCTGTATAACTGTTTATTTTCCAAGTAACTGTATATCCCCTTAAGTTGGTGTGTGTTGGTTTTGGTGTTTTTTTTGTCAGCAGGTTAGGTTTTATTTATATTGTGGTAGCAAAAGCGTGATTATTTGTTGTCAAACTGTCAAACTGCTTTTTTTGTGTATGTCTCACTTGTGTCATTTTGCATTGAGGGAGATCTGCAGCCCAAATATTAGATTTTATTAATGTAAAATCTTCCCTCTGCCTCAGACTTTTCTTTAGTCTGACCTCTCAGGCATTTAGAGCGTTTTGGAGGGGGTTTGAGCCTTCACTGTCTGTGCTTTTAGGCAGTATCCTGAAAGAGGATGTACTATGGTTCTGCCACAGTCATTTCAATATTTTTCTGTATTACTGTTCAGTGTAGTTTTACTTTTTCTTATTGTTTTATTTTTGGCCTTTTGATTATATAACTTCCTAAGATATTTTTCTTAGACCTTTCTATGCTGAAGTGCAGGTTCTTGCTGGGTTAGGAATTTGTTAGAAGTTTTTTTTCTCCGATATATTACCTTTCAACATTAAATTGAATTTGTTCTTTTATTCATAGGATTTCTGGGAAATTCAGATTGGAAGGGTTCTCTAGCCTGACCTCCTGCTCAAAGCAGGGTGAGCCAGGAGGTCAGAGCAGGTTATGAGGGATTTTATCCAGTCTGGCCTTGAAAACCTCAAAGCAAGGAAGACCACAAAACTTCTCTGGGCTATCTGTTCAGGTGTTTGTCTGTACTCATGGTGAAGAAGAGTCATCTTATATGCAGTCTGGACTTCTCTTGTTTCAACTTTAATGCTCACTGTTTTTTGTCCTGTCACATTGCACCACTGTGGTAAGCCTGACTCCTTGCTAACCTCCTTGTAGGTACAGGCAGGCTGTTGTTAGGTCTCTCCAAAGCCATCTCTTCTGCAGGTCAGATAAGCCTGTCTTCCTCAACCTCTCCAAACAGGGCAAGGGCTCAGGCTCCCTGAGCATCCTGGTGGCCTACTGCATCCACTTTATGGATTTATTTCTTGTATTGAGGGGCATAATAAGGTATGTTAGACCGTATCTGGAAAAATAAGCCCGGATTAGAGGTGATAATCAGTTCCCTTATCTACTGGCAAGACTCCCTCTTAATAAAGCCTGCGATACTGTTGACCTTTCCTGCCAGGGCACACTGCTGGCTCATGATAAGCTTGCTGTCTGTCAGCCTCCAGATTGTATCATTGCCAGGGCCTCTCAGGTGTGGGGCTTTGTGTTTGTCCAGTCTGAATTTATACAGCTCCTGTAGCATTCATTCCTCTTTCCTGTCTAGATCTGTCTGAATGGCAGCCTTGCCCTTAAACATGTTGACTCAACCTCTTCACCCCAGTTAAGATTCTGCCCCTCTACTCTGCTCTCATGAGACCCCACTAGGTGTTCTGTGTGCAGTTCTGGCGTCCCCAACGTAAGAAGAACATGGAGCTGTTGGAGCAAGTCCAGAGGAGGCCATGAGGATGATAAGGGAGCTGAAGCACCTCCCATACAAAGACAGGCTGAGAAAGTTTGGGCTGTTCAGCTGAAGAAGAGAAGCTGTGTAGAGACCTCATAGCAGCCTTCCAATATCTGAAGGGGGCCTTTGAGAATTCTGGAGAGGGATTCTTCATCAGGAACTGTAGCAATAGGACAAGGGGCAATGGGTTCAAACTAAAACAGGGGAAGTTCAGGTTAGATATAAGGAAGAAGCTCTTTACTGTGAGGGTGGTGAGACACTGGAACAAGTTGCCAAAAGAAGTGGTGAATTCTCCATCCCTGGCAGCGTTCAAAGCCAGGCTGGACAGAGCCTCTGTCTGCTAGACCTTTGCAACATGGCTTAGTGTGAGGTGTCCCTGCCCATGACAGGGGGGTTGGAACTGGATGATCTTAAGGTCTTTTTCAACCAAAACCATTCTGTGATTCTATTATCTTTAAATTCTCACCAGAGTCTATCCTACTGGCCTTCAAGTCATCAGTAATGTTTAGTGGACTTGTCCTTGGGTAGACCCTTGCAACACTCCACTTAACACTGGCCTCCAGGTAGCATACAATGCAGAAACCATTAACTTCTGAGCCTGACCAGCCAACTGTTTCCTGCAAGTCTAGGTGTTCATCCCTTCTAAAAAGAGGGATTTTTTTCCTAATTCACTAATACTCAATTTGTTGAAGTTCCCATGTCCTTTTTAGTGTCTTGATTTATTTTATTGTTAGCTTTTCTTACCGGTGAAAGCCTACATTGGTAGGTTTATTTTGTGTCTTGAACAGTTTCCATGTTCATGAGTACTTTTTTTACTCTGTGACTAATTTTCTTGGTGTTCTTCTCTTTAGATACTTTGTCATTGCCTTTCTTGAAGTTACTCTTTCTTTCTCAGCTCCTTCTTTTTCAGTGCTGACATTATCATACCATATCTTATTTTTTTTTATGCTGCAGATTTTAGTTATTGCAGATGCTTTTGCCTACTCTCTGAAGTGTAGGGCAAACGTATTAACATATTAAAAGCAGATGGGGCTTTCTAGTTGCTTTAAAACAGACTGCCTAGACCCAAAATCTTGCTGTTTCTAGCCCAGGTAATTTGTTGTTCTTAATTATTTACCCTCTTCAGTTTGAAATGGTAGTTTTGATAGATATGCATGCTTGATGAAAGTATGTCTGGAACAGTTATGTCACCATTATTCTTCATGTAAAATTCACATTAATGCAGTTTTGTTGATGGTACTTCAGTGTCTGCTAGATGTTCCAGCTCTCATTTAAATTTCTTGGTTACAGTCTAATAACATAATTTCCAATTCCTTTCTATGATTTTGTTGGTTTTAAAATAATTCCCATTTTATACTGCAGTTTCTATGATCTTTCCTTTTCTACAGCTTCATGAAATTGAATTTCTATTTTATAGTGCTAAACTAACAAGATTCCCATGTATATGCTGTAGGTAGTGCTGCTTTATTCCAAAAGGCTGTATTTTATCTTTCTTCCCAGTACTGGCTGCAAACCATTCCCTTGCTTTACTATTCATGTGAATTGTACTTGTCTCGTAGCAGCAAGAGACTAAAATACCTCCTGATTTCAGGTTGTGTACTCTACTCTTAAGCATTTACCCTCACTCAGAGAACTACTGTTCTGCGATGTGGGAACATTCTGTAGCTGGTTTACCAGTTGTCACACTTATGTGTTAACATCAACAACAACAGAATTAGTGGAATGAATACTTTTCAGCTAGACAGTTTTGAGTCCAGATGTTTTGACACATCTGGTTTTGAGAATCACATATATGGATTGAGGTACAAATAGGTTTCAGTATGTCTGGTATGCTGGGAATACGTGGTTAAAAATCTGAGTTATTTACAAAACTATAAATCAGAATTTTCTTACTTTCAAAGATTAGTTTTAAATGAAAATACAGTTTTGAATGTCGGTCACATTTACATGTTTTCAAATATGAATTCACCTTACACATTTAATTGTCTGTCTTCTGGATGTCATTACCACCTAATAGTTCATCAGTTTCTCAGTTCATTTGTGGTTTTGCTGAGGGCTGTGTCTGTACAGGTAAACAACCCAATTTCTGTAATCCTTGTAAGATGTCAATATGCAGATAATGTTTGTCTGTATTTGTGACCTGTCAGCAACATCGAAGTACAAATGAGTAAACTTGACTCTTGGAGCAGGGAAGGGTAGGTAGGGGCAGAAGGGAAAGTGGCTGCTCGATCTTGGATTGGTTTGGTTTTGGGTTTTGTTGTTTTTTTTTTTATTCTTTCAAAGACTGACTAAAACATGTTATCTTTATTGTGTTTCTCTCCCCTTTCCAGTTTAGTGTAGTGGATCATAGATTTTGTGTGTGATTATAATTCAGTTGCTTTGTTGTGTGGCTTATTGAGTATTGCAGTGTGGCCTGTTAGCTGGCTTCACATGAAGTAGAGTATTGCTAACTGTGTATCTGGATGTTTACATGAAATACTAAGTGCATGTGGTGAATTTTCGTATAAAGAAAAGAGTATTTTGCTACCTGTGCAAGAAATTCTGCCCGAATGAAGTAATTAAATGAAGAGTGTGTAAATAATTAATGATCAAATATAATGTAAATCTTTTGGGCCAAAAAAAATACTGAAAATGCATGTTTAAACTGTATTTTAAAAGCAAACAATTAAACAGAAAACTTCCTTAGTGCCCTTAGAATCTTTTAACATGTGAGCCAAAGGAAATGCCTACCTTATGTTGTCATTGGAACAGCATCTATTTGAGGTTCCCCTAGGCCTCATTTTTTAGCCTGCTAACTAGGCTATGCGTGTGCAGTGAAAGTCTCTTTTACATATAAAAGTTATTTTTCACAAGAAGTACTCTGCTTTTACAGCAGTTTCTGCCTGTGGTTAATAAGTTCCTTTGAAAATTCTTACTTTTCTCCAGAGATGTTGATAGACGTAACTTTTTTTTTTAATTCCTGCCTTATATGTTAAGGAAGAAGGGGTAGAAGCCCATACTTACTCAGAATGACAAAGGAAGTCCATAACAGAGCAAAACTCAGAACCTAGATACCCTGACTGATAGTCATCTGCTACAGCCATTAAATGGTTCTTTTTCCCTTGGAAGATTTTCTGAAAATTGTGCTATAAAATGATACCATAGCAATGGGGTTAGAGATGTACATATGTTGCTAAGAAACTACCTGATCTGTTCTGGACCAGCTACTGGGATAAAGTGGCTGTCTTAAGTTGTTGTGTATGGAAAAGGGCCACTTTAGGTGATGTGCATTTTGCTCCACCGATTTCTGACCTGCAATGCTTGCCTTTGCAGATGGAACATGAGGATTTTGTAATGGAGGGGCATGGCAAGACTCCACCTCCTGGTGAAGAAAACAAACAGTGAGTCACACGTTTATTTAAAAAGGACCTTACCATAGTAAATGGTGTGAAGCACTCTTATTTAAATGTACTGGGAGCATTGGTCATTTGTTGGGTGCTCACCCTTTTGGTTCCTTAAATATCCATATATAAAAGTGGATGGTGGCTGAGGGACAACAACAACAACAAAATAAATAAAGCAGGATGTTGACTTGCATTAAATTTAAAAGCATAGAAATATGCATTTTAATTTCAGAAGTTTAATCAGAAGTTGTTGTAAAGAGAGTAAGTCTGGAAGCTTAGCACTGAGGTAGTGAGTTTGTACGTTCAGCTGCTCTTCACTGAACTAATGTGAAATATGATAGAGCCAGGGCCTTCCTTTTGGTGTGCATATGGTAGATCAGTCTTTTTTGGAATATAAACCTTCTTTAGAATGTGTTTCAATAAAGAAACTGGCATTGTAAACAAAATGCTTTTTCAAGGATGAACAATTTAAGATGCTGGTACACAGTGCTTTAGGCAGAGAAGCTTGATCAGAGAAGAAAATGACAGGTTTTCATTAGCAAAAGGCTTTTTCATGTTACTTCAGACTGAAATGCACTAATGGTTGCGTCTTTTTCCTGTGTTTTTGTTCAGATGGGAAGAACAGAGTCTTGTTTTAGGAGTATTGCAGTGATGGTTGTCTTCCATATTCTTTTCTTTACTTAATGCAATGGTTATTCAATTTTGATGTCATAATAATTTTTTTTTTCTGACCTGCCTTTTGGAGCAAGTAGGAAGGTATGACCTTTGAGAAATCCACAGCACAGAACTCTTTTTCTCCTGTGCCTAGTTGGATGTCTCCTCATGAGAAGTTCTCACTGATCAGCAGTACATTTGTTGCAGAAAGGCTGGGGTTTGCCCTGAGGTGAAGGTCTTCCTTGCCTTTTAGATAAGCTAGGAACTTCAAGTCCGCTGCCTCTGCAATGGTGAGAAACCATTTCTGAGGTAGCCAGAATGAGTTCAGGAAAGTTCTAGTGCTGATCATGCACATTCTTTCCATCGTGGAAGTGAGCCAAACTTCTCGAAGAAATTGCTGCTATTTCTTTCTATTCAGACTGCTCAACTTACTGTGGTACCAAGAGATACAGAGCTTGTTGAATTAGAAACTTTTAGAAAGTTCCAGAAGAAAAATCGGGGCAGAAATATAAAGTGGGTGTTAGATTTCTGCTTTTCTGAATTGTTTCTTTAAATATCTAGTAGCATCATTCAACACGTTATTGGTATTGGATCTATAGCTTTGTGTTTGCTGTCTAATTTCAGGTGCAAGCAGAAGGTAGGATTACTTTACAGTTGACCTGATTTCTGGTTAGAGCTTTTCAAGTGCCTTACATTACCTCTCTTCTTCAAAACTGTGGTTATTAGAGACTACAAGATTACTGATATGTAGGATTTTTATTTTTTTAACTAACAAATCTGTGTTCAGGTGGCATCTGAGATCTTGTCATACAGATCCTGCCCTAAGGAGTACCATTTCTAATAGTGTTAATCACATATTTATAGAAGTCTGAAAGCGCAATTTTAGTAATGAAACTAAGAGATGAAGATAAGTGTTTTGTGCAACTGTGGCATAATTCCAGCAAGATTCTATTGTGGGTATTGCTCTTAAATTTCAGTCAATCACCTGAATCTTTTTCTACCCACAGTCTCAAATTTTCAACTACTTAACAACATTGTCTGCCTTGGTAGAGCTTATCTCATGCTGTAAGTGACTTTGATCTGGCATCTGAGATAAACAAATGATAATCACACAAAGGATTTGTATTCTTGAGTGACTCCAAAAAGCTGCATCAATTTAACATCTTTTGCTGTTGATCTCAAAAGAAAGGAAATTAAATAGGAAATTGCCTCTTCGTATTATTACTCACTTGCATTAGAGATTAGATGGATTAGTTGGGCATTCTGGTGTGGGTCTACTGAAGGGCCACAGCGAGAGACTGGAGCATCTGACATAGGAGGAGAAGCTGAGAGAGCTGGGACTGCTTTGCCTTGGGATGAGAAGCCTTTGGCTTATCCATGTGTAGAGATACCTGATGAGGGGACCATGGAAGACTGAGCCAAACTCTTCACAGTCATGTCTGGTGAAAAAGCAAGAGGCAGTGGGCGGAGACTGAAATACAGGGAATTCCACTCAAACCCAAGGGAAAAAGGAAATTACTGTGAAATGTGGTCACACCTTTGGAAACAAGTTGCCCAAAAAGGTTGTGCCTTCATAATCCTTTAAAATATTTAAAACCCTAGGCAGCCTGCTGTAGTTAACCATGCTTTGAGCAAAGGGCTGGGATTAATGATCTCGGGTATCTCTTCCCTCTGCAGTGAGTCAGTGTTCAAGGCCAGGTTGGACATAGCCTTGGGCAACATGGTCTAGTCCATGGCAGGGGGGCTGGACCTAGATGATCTTAAGGTCCCCAACCCTGACTATTCTGTGTACCTTTGTTCACTGTTGTCCTCCTAGTTGGTTTGAAATAAAATTGGAGCTTGTTAGTGAAAAGTAGATCATAAGTTTTAATGTAGAATCAGGTGTTTGCTTCAGAAATAGCTGCACTAGCTGAAGATGCTTCCTTCCCTTTCCAGCTGTTTGTTAGACTTTCTTAAGATTACTGCCTCTACAGCTATGCAGATGTTTTGGGGAGATCCCCCCCCACCCCCTGAGTTCTAAGTTGCTTTCCTGAAAAGTTGACCGTGTTAACGTAAATGCTTTAACAGACTGTTCTGAGTAACTATATTTCGATCCTTGAGGGAGGAGTTTCAGCAACTGACCTGCAAGCAAGGTGCTGGAGCAGTCTGCAAGTGGTACCCTCCTAGGTGAGCCCAGCAATTTCTTAATATTTAACTGCATTCCAAAAGACTCAGAGTTTGAGTGGACATTGAAAGAACAGAAATAAAGATACTTCTGAGACTTTCAGTGAAAGCAGTAGTTCTTACCTACCGCCAGTTTCATGTGGAATTTCCTTTGCTGAAGTACAGCTTCATAATGGATTATAAGAAGCCACCACCCATGGATGACTTCTAGCAATTTATTTCCAAAATGCAACAGTATTTCAACTCAGTTTGACTCGGGGCTTGGCATTGAAAGAGTGCCTTCTAGTATTAAAAAACAACCAACCCTGCTTGCATCTCTCAAACCTTTCTTTTGTTGTACTGAATAGTTCTTTCAGGCAGGATTAATGCAATAAACTTGCAGCTTTTTTAAGATTACTTTTTTTATTGAGCTGTAGATGATACTCAAGAACTGCTGTTTGCTGGTATCTGTTGGCTTTGTGGGGCGGAACTCTCCTGTTAGACTCTATACAGTGTCTTTAGACATTTTTAACAAATCATTTACAATGTGAATGTAACTCAAAGAAGAAGAAAAGTTACACGTGCAAAACCCTTAGTTATGAGTGAAATATAGAATGGGCATACCCATCTTGAGTTCTGTGGAAGATACAGTTTATGCATGGTGCCTGTGTAACAAACCTGGCATGATTGTGCAGCAGTGAGGGCTGCCAATTACTCTAAAACCCACACTTCAAAAGAAGTGAGTGTGTGTGGACTGCTGGGGCTGATAATGTCTGTATTGGACCATGCTTCTATTTCAGCAGAGGATCCTGACTCCTTGAGAAGTTGTTGCTTCCCACTACTCTGTAAATGCCTCCCTCCTCTCAGCTCATTAGTATGTGATGTAACTGTTTGTTACACTTGGCTGCATTACTTTGTTATGTGGCTAATATCTTTGCTAAGAAACCCCTTTCGAACTCTCCCAAAAGAAAAGTTTGGAGAAGGATCAGCATCATTATGTTTAATTGCAGGTGGACGTTTTGTTAGAGGTGTTCTCTTGCATTTTCGTCCATTACGAATACTGACCTGAACTTGCCGTATTTAACGGGTAAATATTATCTCTCCACAAAATACTTACATTTTACATGGCATTAGCTTCTTTTTGCCTTACCACCTGTAATAAGGCTTTTGCTTATCACTTACTAGAGAAAAGATTAACAGGCAACTTTGATCCAGAAGTATCTTTCCAAAACAGTCAAACTTCTGTTTACAAACAGAGAGCAGCTTCTCTTTATACCTTTTTTGGAGTAGGAAAATCCTACTCAAGTCCTTAAACTGAGGTTGTGTTCCTGGTTCGAGCAGTATTAATTAGTAGCTCTGCCTCTGCTAATAAATTATTCCCAGTTGTCACCACCAGAAACTAATGTACCTTGATCTATTAGTGAAAGGGATCGTGTAATGAAAAATTACTCCTTTTTATAAGAAAAATGTAAATGTTTTACCATGTCTGAATAACACACTGGAAAGTCTGTTTGACAGTAGCTATTTGGACAAGAAGTAAGTCAAGTTCATGCTCATGTTTACTAGCAAGGTAAGCCAAGCTGTTACTGCTGTCTGAAGCAACTCAGCTGGCTATTCCCCACCTGCTGTTTTGTAGTAATGGGAGAGAAAAGTCTTCAGCTATCTTGGCACTTTGTACATCTGGAAGTGATTCATACTGTAAGAAAGAGAGCAAAACAAGATCTTTCCATAATTTACAAAGTGTCATTGATTAGACCTACTGGATAGCCTTTTCCTTGGCTTGATAATTTAATGTATAGATGCAGAGGCAATGAGACCCTCCAAAACTGCAGCAATACCAGGAAGAGATTGTAACCAGTGGAGATCACAAAATTGTTTGAAATTGGGTAATGTTGTTTTACATTATTCTCTGACATTTCAGCAGGACTATTCAATGTCTTCCTGGATTTGTGAGACACTATGATTAAAAGAAAGTGGTAGCTAATATAGCCTAAGATGGAAAGAGGAATGATAGACTAGTAAAATAGTTTCAATCAAAAAGGACCTCCGAAAGTCATCTCATCCACTTCCATGCTCAAAGGTGGGCCAGATTTGAAGGTTAAATCTAACTTCTGAATTGTATCAGGCTTCTCAGAATTATTCTAGAGCCTTTCTGGGCAATCTGTTATGTTGATCACCCTCATGGTGAAGAAAATTCCAGA